TTAATATTTAAACGTTCGTTAATTGGCAACGATTTTAAAAATGACATATAGTCCTATAATTGCAAGCTAATTTATTTAAATATTATGCAAATTAAGCAATTAATGTTTTTTAGTGAATTAAAGTATTTTAGACTTAAGATGGTTGTTTTATATGAAGAAATCACCATTGAAATTCTTCCATCCCGATCGCCCCACCCTTCTTTGTCATCGTCGTTTTTTGTTTTTTTGTTTTGTTTTGTTTTTTCTATTTGATCAGTACGTATCGTAGGATTAAATCACATCACTAAAATGTTAATTATTTACAAATATAAAAATATTTAAATAAATAGGTCGTCGTATATTGCCCTCTTCCTCAGTATAATTTCAATGTTTGCAGACGGGTGATTCTAGTACCGAAACCAGTAGCTGATTACGTTTTACTAATTGCAAAGTTTTGTATCAAAGACGTTAACCATAGTAGGCCTACGTATAACGTAATACATAACCTACCACAACGTTTGCGAAAAATTGAATACTAATTTAGTATTTGCTTGGCTCCCCATTCATATCGCCTCGCACATTGTTCCACTGGTGCCGCTTAGTTTCGAAGATTCTGGATCCATGCCAACTTTAAAGTGCAGCATAATTTTCTTGGTGCCCGCATGGTTGTTGGTATTTACCGAATATCATGTTTATGAATGATGCGATGAAAAGGAAATGAAATATAGGCCTATATGTATCATATAATGTCATAGGCCTATATTATATTATTTATTTTGCCTTATGAATTTTATACAGCACATTTTAGTCAGTTTTTAATTCTTTTTAATGATTTTATTGCCGATAATTTTTTTCGATGTCTATCTTTTACTTTTTAACGATTGTCCATTTTCACAATAAGATCTTTTAAAATGTTTTACAATGTTCTTAATATCTTTTTAACATTTAATATTTTAACTTATTGTATATATTCCGTGTTTTAATATTCAGTATTTTAAATTGTACTTGGCAATGTGTGTGTATTCATACAAAAAAAAATTTTTGTTTATATACATTTGTATAAGTTTATATGGACAAGTTAATAAATGAATCTTGAATCTTGAATCTTTAACACACAAAGTAACTCTATGAGGCAGGTTAAAGAATATTGATTGAATTGAACTTTGACTCAATATCATTCAACTCTATTTTATGGGCCTGAGTGACAGTTATTGTAATTCTTCTTATCTATGTATTATCGTTAAGATCGTCTGTGTAGGGCCTACTTTTTGAATAAAAAACAAATTAGTAAAAACCAGAAAATAAAGTTTTACTTTTGTTATAAAAATAAAATTGGTATAGGTTAACATCTGCTTTTAAGCAAGTATCATATTTCCTGATTATCTATAAATAATTGCAACAAAGAGTGCATGAAAATGATATTAAGCTTCCTGGAGGGGACTAATCGATCGGCTTTGGTGGCGGAAATAATCCGCCTACCAGCAACTGACGATAATCAAAATAACTTCTATACCGCCCTCTTTATTATTCCATCGCGCTCTTACACGATCGCAACAACACAGCAACAGTCATGCGTATTTGCGAATCAATTTCCTCAAAGATTCCTGTTATGTATTCCCAATATTTGCAAATGGAATATGAGACTATAATAGTTAGAATGAACATAATGAATATATAGATGAATGCTTATTACATATTTTCTTTAGTTTGTATCATAAAAATATGAATTGCTATAATCAAAACAGAGATAAATAACATAAAATACAACTTTCGATCAATGGCTCCGCCCATGTGATCCACGTGGTGGATCCATGTGGCCTTGTTTGGACGCCATATTTATTGTTTACGATCGCTTTGACATGTTGTGAATAGGCGAACCTTGCCGAGCAAGATAGGCGTGAATCAGTTTTCTACAAAGTAGTACTCCTTTGTTTGTGAAAATGAGCGAAGACGAAAGAGATATTGACATTGAAAGTGAAGTAAGTAAATTAATATATTATCATTTATAAATTTTAAGATAATTTTAGGGCATAACCTTCAAGTAATAATTTGTTATCGTCGGTTTCTTTCAGGAGGATGGCGACATGGGAGATCAAACTCAGGTGAGACAAACATGTGTGTCTGTAAAGCGTGCGTGAAATACTCTCTATCACTGTGTGTGTGTGTTTGTGTGTATATGGACGATGTAGTAATCTGGTCTGATCACACCAAACTTGGATACGTCTGCCTCCTTATAATTAGAAAATCTATACATTTCCAAGCTCACTTGGGTACAAAACATTAATCAGTTAATCTTTAATTTAATTATTTGTTAATATCATTGTCAAATGTAATTGCTCTAGCCTAGGCCTAGGAGGTTGTTGTGGTTGAAAAATGAAATATGCAGTTCCTTCTTTCTGTCCACTTCCTTGTTTAATAATAAAATTTTACATTATTTTTGTTTCTTATTAATATCAGTGTCATGTTTTCTTGGCTATAGGCCTAGACATATATATGTTTTTCTTTACTCATTTTTGTTATCGATAATAACAAAACAAGTTGTACAAAATGTAATTTAGACAGTGGAGTTCACAATTGAATTTTGTAATAATGTGATAACTGATTTGTGATATTTTTTTATATTTCTCATAATTTTATATGTAATTTCATTTGCATTTTGCCAAGAAATACGTTAGCTTCTCCCTACCTACTCCGTTTATATTCTGTTGCCTTGATTGTTAAAATAAACAATTTAACATGAAAATATATATGATATGCCACCTCCATTTTTGGTACCAATAATTTTTGTGCATTTTATCAGCACAAAATGAACTGACATCCATTAACCTAAAAACTAAAAAAGTGACCTGCTCTCAAAACATTTGGAGGAGAAATATATTTTAAATTTATGACCTTTATTAATATTAAAATATCTTGTATTTATTTATTTTTTTACATGAAAGGCCGAAAATATTAATATTTTGATTGCTTTGAGCATTGTATTATAGCTAACTGCCTACAAATATTTGCTTAATGTTGACAAATCTCATGCAAATTATCCATCTTGTACATGCCATGAGCCTACACTGGTTAGTAGTATTTATCACTCAGGCAATCTCTGTCATATACAGAACACATTCTTCATAACTTTGAACTTGGAATTATCCTTCTGGGCAGGGGAATGCATAGTAAGATAGATAAATGTACTGTAATTAAGGAGATAACAAGCAAGTAATTGAATATTAGTATCGATAAATTACCAAAATGTAAGAGCCAAAACACCTGTTGGTTGTGTAATTTGATTGCGTATAGATTATTCACATGAATTTTACTGAAAAAATATTTTTATGTTAAATGGTACAAAATTGATGTTTTATGATGTAGTCTGCCATATTTGTAAAAAAAAACCAAAACAAATTGAATAGTTGAAGTTGAATATGTAATTGAAAAGTGTAATGTCCATAAAACCACTGATTCTTAAATCGCTGACCCAAAAACATTGGGTACTTGCCACCTCCAAAACCCATGGTACATTGCACTTCGTTTTTCTGATTCAATAACACAGTTTTATGTATCCCAATCCCAAATCACATGGTGCACATCTTAATTTCCTGGCCTAAAACACATGGTGCATAGCAGAATTTTCTGGCCAAAAACACATGGTACCTTGCTTAATTACCTTGGGCAAAAACACATGGTGCACAGCTTAATTTCTTGACCAAAAACAAATGGTGCATAGATACTAAATCCCTGGCCAAAAAACATATTATAAACAACCCTTCCTAAATTTCCTGGTCTAAATACACATGGTGCAGTACATGTGTGAATTGGGGCAGTGATTAAACTTGTACTACTTATATCCAACTATTAGCATTCAATGTAGTGGAGTATTTTTGACCCTGTAATTTCTGTTGGCAGTACACAGCCAGGAGGCATGTCAACTTCTATTAGAAGCTGACCTGGGAGCCATTGTCATCATAATGCTATAATGCCTTCAGAGATGGAAGATTGTATTAGAATCAAGTTGTTTATTTTGATCCATATTCCTTCTAAATAACCACTCCCACTATACCATCCATTACATGCTTTGCTCATAATAATTAATATTAATTCTAGATTTGAGAGAGAAGAGATGGAACTTGGATCTTATTAAACATTAATTAAATAATTGACTGCTTGGATTCAAAAAACAAATAAAATTAAATGAACCATTTTTTTGTTTGTTTTTTGAAATGCATGGCTCAAATTCATACCCTTTACATGTGCTTTTATCTGCTATTGTATTCTTCTAATCATCAATTTCTCTTCTCAACCTCCTTGTTAAATTTCATGTGCGATATTATAGTATTAGTAGTTATTTATTAGAAAGCATCTTGATATTTTGAATTAAAATTGAAAAATAATATATTTCTCCTCATCTGATATTATTTTTTCTTTTACGTTTATTATGCGTTTAGCTTGTTTTTCTGTGTCATAAAAATGGAAGGTCGTAGAAATTGATATAAAATAATAAAAAAAGAGATGTCATAGAATGAAATTATGGGGAAAAAGCAGTGTGACCTAATATCACTATGTTGATATCAAAGAAAAATATTTTAAAGTATAAACTTGATAGTAATATTATGTTGGTCTTATATAATGTATAATTCCAGTTGCTAATGACCTATGTTGTAGTGACATATCTGGATTAAACACTTTATGAAACACATGTTTACCTGTAATACGGAAATAAACCAGTTTATTGTGTTTGCCAGGTACCCACTTATTTATATTCTTGGATAGAGGGAGACAAATCATGTACTGCGCATAGTGAAAGTGGTTGGATTCGAACCCATGATCTTTTTATTAGAAATCTAAAGCTGTACTTGCTTCCATGATTTGGGTTGCCGATAATCTCACTGTTTGCATTTTGCTTCTAATTTTTCGATTTCTATGCCCGATTGAAATGAAGTTGACCTGACAGCTCTTTCTAAATTTGAAAACATGGAAACTTAATTTACATCTGGTGACGCAAGTGTCATTCACATCTGCAAATATCTATGTTACCATGGTAATACAAGTCCGAATTATACCCATGCAGCCGTGCAGTTTTCCTTGAACCACACACATGGTGTAATGCCAAACATTTATTTTATTTTGGTGTTTATTAGAGACTTAGAAATCATTATGTCAGGGTGGGGTACATTGGATATTATAGTTAAATCAATCATATGCAATGTACAATTGCATCCCATCTCCTTGGGAATATTCCCAGTTTGTCCATCACTTCCCTAGGCAACACTCTTATAGCTGTTGCATGTCATTCCATGAGGTGTGTTTCTAGCCATGTGCATGTACCTGTATATCAGCAACTCTACTGCATTCTGACGTTATACCGTACCAACCAGTATATATTTTTTTATTATTATTTACATCGTTATCAATTATTTCCAAGTAATTGGTATGGCATTCATATGTTTAAAAAAAATGAATTAAAAGTTAAGCAACTCTCACACTATCACGACCTACATGTACTGCGATCAGTATACGACCGACACCGACCAGTGTGAGAGCTGCTATGAGCAACTTGCTCGTGTAGAAGAGAGGGTCGTTGATGGTCGCGGAGTTTTCAACATGTTGAAAAAAAATATAGTGGTCAGTACTGGTTGCCAGGCCCTACTTCCGGTCAGATACGACGGTATGGTCGCATTGTTAGGTCGCGATAATGTGAGACAGGCTTTAGTCTTCTTATTGAGATAAATATTATAGACATACATAATATATATTTATTATCTTTTGTATTGTAATCTCTATTGAGATCTCACTCCAAATTTTTGACTTTTTTTGTAAGTTTTTACACATGTGTAACAAAGACAGGGTGGAGGATACAGTTTCTGTATGTGAAAGAGAAGCTTGGTTATTATAATGGTAGTAATTTAAAGTCCATGTAAGATGCTATTGTTCAAAAATTACCAAAATGCCACGCCTCACCGATTATTAATTATCTGCAGATTATCTAGGTCAAGCTCTTTTTAGATTATTCATTGACCTCGTATTCGTCGTAGTCTAATAAGAATAGCATATTTCAAACTTCGGACAACAACCGATAGTAAGATCAGAAATAGTAGAGTGAAATACTATGATACCATGTTGTTATTAAAGGGAAAGTGAAAAACAGATGGCTTTTACTAAGTAGGGGAAATACTACAAACATTATTGCAAAAGGGGAGTGTACTTTTGCAGAGATAAAAGCAAGCTATAGAAAAGGAACAGTACACACATAATCAGAGATGTACAATAAGACCACAAACATAACATTAGGGGTTTACTGTACCGTAAATGTTCCAGTAAGCGCAGCAGGCTTATAATATATTGTGGAGAGTTTCGATTAGCAGTTATTCGAGTGCCGTACTTACTATTTTAGGGCTAAAAATTAAATGGTACAATGTATTTTAGATAGGTTAATCTGTCTTGCTACATCCCTTGTATTAAGCCTGGTTTCCGTAAAATCGCTACTGTCGCCATCGGGAAGGCTCCCCGATTCGACCGACCAATCAGCGAATCCGAAAGCTCTCAGCGATAGCGTGTAGCAACTGTATTAAAACCAAGATTTATTTGATCCGTGAGACATTACTTATAGCAGGATATCTGTTATTTGATTATTGGGAAATCGGTTGTATAATAGTACGGTATATCCCGATGATGAGATACATCAAAGCATGTTTTGTACGTACTCTCGGTGAATGCCTTGACATTTATTCCATCTAATAAATGCCAATTTCTGTGGTTGCTTTATCTGTATTATAACACGTGGTTGTAAGTTGACAATACGTGTGAATAAGCACATACAGGCTACTGACAACATGTGAGCAAGCATGTTGTTGTGTTTAATAATATAGGAAGGAAGCCATGTGCTAGCTTCTGTGCGGTATTCAGGCCTTGTGACCTTTTCAAAAATTCCAGATTCTCATACTTTGAAGGAAATTTAATTTCTTTGTAGAAAGATGAATTAGAAAAGAGGTTTGGACAAAGTCACTCTTGACACATGGTTAGGTTCATTTGAAAAGCCAATCTACTGTATATGGGTAGTGATTATTAAAATGAATTAACATGACATGGTTGGTCTATTGTATGGCATTTCCCA